GATCGGATGTTTCTCCATTCATCATTTTCATACACAACAAGAGCACACGAGATCCACACATTACTGATGAATGCCGATAGCTCCGATCGAACGCGTTGTGGCCAGTCACGAAACATAAACATCCGAACGAGCGCGGGGTGATTATGTTTCGTGACTGGCCACAACGCGTTCCATCGGAGCTATCGGCATTCATCAGCTCATCACATCCTGACCACTGACCACACTCCATTGTTCCTGTTTGCTGTCCCAACGTAGTAGCCGTCGATCTTCCCAAAGGATGATTAATCGAAACACGCGGTGACAGAGATACAATAGATGGGTAGATAGACAACATTCATTGATTTGATAGTATTCATTATTGATTATAGACAGTCCAGAGCACAAGATAGATAATATTCCTTGATTATATGCAGTCTAGACTATCAATCATATCTCTRTTTCCGTTTCACWGATGAACACAACAGACAAKAACATTGCAATGAAGAGTGTATAAGCACTCGACCAATCGACCAATCGCGGAACACGATCAGATTACTCTCGACATTGTCACCGCGTGTTTCGATCGGCCGTCCATTGGGCAGTTCTCATGAGCTGATTARCTGATGCATGATGAAAGCTTCGATCGAGCRCGAGGCGAYYGATCACGAAACATRATAACCGCGCGGCAGATCGGATCTTTCTCCACTCATCAGATCAATCATCCACACGTGAGTGGTGACATCGGCGATACCGCACGTGAGTGATGAACAAGACCATCACGATTGATGACGATACCGCCGCTGATCTGCCGAATGGATGATCAATCAAAGCAGGAGGTGACATTGTCGGAACAGTAGACGCACCCAGTCGACCAATCGCCGAACACGAACCGAGAGTTCGCGATCGGTCGATTGATCGCGTGTGCTGTCTCAACGTTGTCACCGCGTGTGTTTTTCGCTAGTATCAAATATAACAACAAAACACACGTTGCACCGTGCGCGAACGACCAACCGGGCGGCGAGCGACCGATCCATCACACTCGTTGATGTACCCCGACCGAACAGTAGACTGGTCAATAGATCCACCACGACCAACATCACTGAACGACTGTTCGGACTGAGGTTGGACGACCGGTTGATCCAGCAGTCCACCAACCATACAGTTGAACGTGTGCTTGCGTTGCAATCGTGGCATCACCCTCTGCGTGATCGCCCAACCGGCAGGCAAAGGACCGATCCAGCAAACTGGTTGACAGGAGAGCGTTGGCACGAGTAATTGATTAGTTGATTGATCGACTTTTCGGTATTTGGTTGGCCAATTAGCTGATTGATCGGCCGCTCGCCAACCAGTGCACCAACATGCCAGCCGAGCGGTTCACTTTTCTCGCCCCAATTGCACTGCATTCGACCTGCCTCCTCGTCCATTGGTCGTACGCAGCACGCAAGGCAATTGGTCCACCACACGGTAGAAACCCGTGAAAAAGGTCGATCCCTGTTCGGGAATGGACAAAAAACAGTTCGTGACAACCTTGTTGCACATCAAACGTTGCTGGCCATCGAACCTTGTCGGCCATCGAACCTTGTTTGGCATCGAACCTGGCGCCCCATCAAACCTCGGCAAGCATCGAAATGTTGGCGGACATCGAACGCCACTGGACGGCAAACCTCGTCGGTCATTGAAACTTGTTGGTCATCCAACGACGAACGTTGTGCAGCCACCACACGACAGCGGGGAACCTATGAAAATGTGAAGTCCGCCGGGATTCGAACTTCAAGAAAGCACGAGAAGGCGAGTTTGATAGACATTTGTGTCTCCCCCACGTAATCTCGCCAAGCTCGGATCCCGGTGGACCTCCGGTTCACGCCTTCTGCAAGACCCAATACGAGGTGCAACCCCAGCTGGCAACCACAGCGGTGGACCAGTGAAAATGTGAAGTCCGCTGGAATCCGAACTTCAAGAAAGAATGGAAAGGCGAGTTTGATAGACATCTGTTTCTCTCCCACGGCATTTCGCCAAGTATGGATCCCGACGAACTTCAGGTTCTTGCCTTTCGTAAAACCCAACTCGAGTTGCAACCCCAGTGCACAACCACAGCAGTGGACCTGTGAAAATGTGAAGTCCGCCGGGATCCGAACTTCAAGAAAGAATGGAAAGGCGAGTTTGATAGACAACTGTGTCTCTCCCACGACATTTCGCCAAGTTCGGATCCCAGCGAACTTCAGGTTCTTGCCTTTCGTAAAACCCAACTCGAGTTGCAACCCCAGTGCACAACCACAGCAGTGGACCTGTGAAAATGTGAAGTCCGTCGGGATCCGAACTTCAAGAAAGTATGGAAAGGCAAGTTTGATAGACAACTGTTTCTCTCCCACGACATTTCTCCAAGTTCGGATCCCAGCGAACTTCAGGTTCTTGCCTTTCGTGAAACCCAACTCGCGTTGCAACCCCAGTGCACAACCACAGTGAGGGACCTATGAAAATGTGAAGTCCGCAGGGATCCAATCTTCAAGAATGCACGGGATGGCAAGTTTTGTGGGCAGCTGTGTCTCTCCCTCGAAATTTCGCCAAGTTCGGATCCCGGCGAACTTCAGGTCAGACATGTTTGCGGCTCGTCAGCTGGCCCACAGATCCTAACTGTGCGTGCACGGTTCCTCGCACAATCTACAGGTTCGGACTCCGGCGTAATACGGACTCGTAAAAACGCGTAGTCTGCCGGGATCCGAACGTCTCGCACATGGTTCCTCGTGCAATCGTCAAGTTCGGAACCCGACCCACTTCGCTTTCCGCACGGTGACGGTTCCGACCGTGGGATTTCTGGCGCGCGGTGGATTGTCAAAACTTCGGATACGTGAAAATCCGAAGTTCACCGAGATCCGAAGTTGAAGCATGTTTGGGACGTCGAGTGGGAGAGACAACTTCGTCTCTCCTATGCAGATTCGTCAAGTTCGGATCACGGCAAACATTGCTTTCCCGCCATTGGCAGGGCGTGTTACCGACTCGCCTGCTGCCCCATGGATGTGACAAGCACACCAAGTCTGCTCGATTCCGGACTTCACGGCATTCCGAACCGGGTTTTCGAATGTGCACTTCCTCGACAACCGGAGGTCGCAAAAAGCGAAACTGCACAGTGTGACAACGACGAATGATCACGTCGTGGTGGACCTGCCGCCTCGTGCGTTCAGGGCAGACATGACTCCTCGCACAATCGTCAAGTTCGGATACCGGCGAACTTCGCGGTTTCACATGACGCGAGTTCTGCTTGTGATCTTTCTGGCGTCCGACGGCTTTTCGCAACGACATAACCTCGTCGGGATCCGAGCTCCGCGTAGTGCCGGTCTTGAGAACCGTGATGGTTCTCTGAGTGCGGCCTGTTAACGTCGACTGCCAGTGCAACAACGATCCATGCGGACTATGAGTTTGATTGCTCGCCAACTATGTTTACGAGTGTCAGTGTCCCCGTGTGTGTCGTTTGGTATGTGCGCGTGGTCTGTAGGGCGCGTAATGGATGGGACCTTCTCGACACCACGGATCATGGAGTCGATGTTCTCGACACCACAGACCATGAGTCCCGAGACGCACATTCGCTTGGCAGAACCGTTTCCTCCTTGTGCGAGATCCGTGCGGCATTTCAACGGTGTGACTACGATCCAAGGGTCGAACGCAGAGGAATTCGAGGAGGACCCCTGGATGGCCATCGTCCCGTGCACAGGCAGGTATATCGACGGTTGGTGCGACGGCAATTGGGCCACGATGGAGAGTGACTGCCCTTGGGCAGGCCAGTACAAGTTTGCCAACATGTTGGAGTTTGGTTCCCTCATCCCGCTGCCTGATGCTGTCCTCGGTCACAAGTTCCTGAACCACATGCGCAAAGCAGTAGGCTGCATTAGCCGACATTTCAGTCGCCTCGAGTGCCAATACGTCACGTCGTCGCCACGAACTTGGGGAGGCTTGCGGAAACACGAGTTGCTGGCCTGCGCTCGACACTGCCCGTTCCTGGAGCAGTACCCGCTCCGTTGCCCCGGGAGTTCTCGACAAGCTGTGTTGTACTGTTGTGTGCCGTTGACTGTGTCCAGATCTGATTTCGCCAGGGTTTTGTGTGTCGCTACTTCAAACAAGAGTACGAAGCTCGTCGATGCAGTTGTGCTTGTGTCACGCAACGAGATGGCAATTGAGGGGTCCAGACTCGTGGCGACGCCCGGGCCTGTTCGTGTGGATGGATGGCCGGATTTGGTGATAGCAGGGCCGGTCCGAAACTTTTTGTTGCATAGGGAGGTCGAGGAGAAAGTGTCCGCCATACGGGACTGTATAGGGAACTCCTTAGCACGACCGGGAGTGTTTGTTAGGATGAAATACATGTCCG